TATATATACATAGTGAGTCTAACATTATTTTAATTAAAGTTTTAATTGTTGAAAGGGAAGGAAGTAATGTCATTTCGCGACAATTTATGTTTCAGTTAGATAATTGACCAAAAAATATTTATGCGATTGATTAAATAATAAATATTGTTTTTTAGAAAGAGTATCTTTGAGATTATTTTAAAGTACACTGTGCAATATAGTTTGTTAAATTAGTATTTTTTTTATATATAGAATGAAGGTATATGTTTTTTCAATGTTCCGTATTTTTCATTCCTGATGAACTCGCTGCTATGCATTCAGGTCGCACGGCTAGCATGGGTAATTTAAATTGGCTCTTAATCAACTATAATAAAAACGAAATTATTAAACATTGATGATAACATCCTGTGCCCTAAAAATCTTTAATTTAAAAATAGTGATTTTTATAATGATAGATTCCAGGAATTTTTCTCTCTCACCGAACGTTCCTCCAAATTCCGCGGTTCGGCCCGTCCGCTTTGTACAGTAATCATTTTTCTCAACTGATTTAGGGTCGCCTTAGCTCGTAATTGTTGCCGTTCGAAATCGGCAAGCCCTTCGGTCGCGAGCACCATGTACCTTTGTCCAATTCTAGCATTCAAGCCTGGTATGAAACCTAGACAAGATATAGCAATTAAATGTGTAAAAAAAAAAACTTATTTTATAGTGGACTTGTGATAATTTTATATACACATATTTGTTTGCTTTGATAAACGTTACAAGAAACCGATAAGCACCCTCATATCCTGGTAACATAGGGTGAACGAATACAGGATCGGTCCTCTTGAAACGAGCGTTGACTACGTTTATATCGCTTTTTGGCGGTCTCCATGCCTACATATTTTTGTTATAAGTAATTAACATATATATTCTACTTGTTCAGAAAATGTTCGAAAATTCGTTAATCAATTTTATCTTATTACATATCTTATCACAAGCGCATAGTATTATAAATCGTTCACCTCGTAATTATCGGTTACACGATTTGACAGGATGAGCGTATCCGCATGGTTAACCGCAGGATCGAGCAGCAGTTTATGTGTAGCTTTTGCATATGTTTCACCGTATTTAAATCGATATTGCGGACAATAACCAGTATATCTAAAAAGAAATTATCCGAGTGATTTTCTTAAAATTATTTATTAACAGGATAACATTTATTCGGCACAATTATATTAAATTTTTTAATCCAATAAATTATTAAATTATTTGTTAATTAATTTTTATAAATTTGCTTTCTAATATAAATGATAGGAAAATTATTATTGTTTTGTGAAGGTTAATTTTTTACCCTGGAATCAGATGAGGTTCTGCTGTAATTAATAATTCCGTTCCAACAGTCATTTCGTAAAATTAGCTTTTCCAAAAAAAAAACTTGTCAATTTTGAAACAAAGTTAGTGTTTTCTATTTTTAATTAAATATATTTTTGCTTTAGCTTATTAATTTTATTGACATATTGTCATGTCAATTTCAAACAATTGAAATTCAGATATTTTATTCTAACAATAAGTTACTTCACTCGTTACAACTTTTGCAATGGCTTTCGATGAATAAAGAATTAATGCGGGTTGAAAGAGATAATCGACCAGCAAGAGAAGCGTAGGGATGACAAGGAGAAAGGGAGACAGAAAGAAGAGAGATTATTTGTGATAGAGTAGGGAGAGCATGCGTTACGTAGACAAACAGAAGGTGCACGGTTATGATTTCGCTTTCCAGTTTTCACGAGACCACCGTGACGGTAGCACGTTAAGTTTCCAAAAAGTGCCTCTTTCGTAATTAAAGAATCTTGAATTATTTAGCATTCGCTATTTATATAATTAAAATATTGATATTGAGACGTAAAAAAAACACGTCAAAAAATTCATCTGTGATTAGATAAAGACGCAGTTGAAATACACAAGTGTAATTCATTCTTAGATAATCATAAATCACAGAAGTGGAAGACTGATTTGCAACGTTAAGATAAAACGATTTAACTATCGAGAGACTGTAGAAAGAAATTAGCGATGCGGAATAATTTTAAAATGAATATTTGTGAAGTGTAAAGTGATACGAGTGTTTTTTTTTATTTTGAACGAAAAATTCGCAAATTACAGGATTGAAACACATTAATAAATTATTTAGAGACGAGAACTATGTGGTACCACCAAGAAAAGAATTCCATTTTTTATATCGAATCTGATTGCGAGCCCATAAAACTGATCAAAGACAAGGTAAATGGCTTATTTATGCTTATGCTTAAACAGTTAATGACATTTGATCCACAGAATACAATTATATTCCTCAATAGTATTGCTAACAATATTGAGATAATTAATTAAGTATTTCTTCTTAGTTAATTACTCACAACAACTTAATTAATTAATTACTCCACTATACAAACGAGTTTTTGAAAATTGTGTATTTATATTATGAAAAAATAATAGTACAAAAGAGAGAGAGAGAGAGAAAGAAAGAGATAGAGCAGGAAAAATTACAGGTAGGAGGAAAAAAAGTGCGATGTGTGATTTATGAAAAAGTGGAAATTCCATCCACAACGCTTACGTGCAAAAAGGATAATAATAACGCGTAAAAGGAAAAGTGAAACTTGTGGTAAAACTTAACGCCTGGCCACACTTATAAATTCTCCAGATTTCGATAGCGAGGCGGCGAGAGAGTGAAAAATTTACAAAACTATATGTATTATCCAATTCCAGTTTTATATCTCATTTTGAATTTAACATCACACTTACATAATGCAAAATTGCTTACATAATAAAAGAATCACATAACATTGCTGTTAATTGTACAATATTATGATTTGAATAATGTTATGTTTGCATAGAAAATATCGCGAAATTTAATATGTTCTCGATGCTGAGTCATTAAGCTTTAATCGCATTTAATCATTCTTTCGTGAGGGTTACGACCCGACCAGGTGTATGTACCAGGTGAACGAAATGCAGTCATATATGTGTTGTACGCGACGAAGGAATAATAATTTTCTCTCTTGTGCTTGGCATTTTATTTTGCGTCCCCATAGCCGGAAGTGGCGTTATCACGCGTTACTCGTTGTCAACTCCTAGTGTGGGTGGACGACAATGTATAGCAACAGATATACGCGATACAAAACACTACACGAATGATAAGAATAACAATCGAAAACTTAGTTTTAACCCGAAATTCACGTGCGCTCCTTCAAATTAAAATATACAAAATAAATGTCATGTATTATAAAGTTATCATGTATTGTAAGAAAACGCGTGTTATTTATAGAATAGATATAGTATTAATTAAGACTGTAAAAAATAATCGTTCATTTCAATTAATCGGATAATTAATGTATTTATCTGTTAGGAACTCTTTCTATTAAAACTTATCGCGGGCAAATATATAAATATCGCAATCGCAGCTGAATTAATTTTTAAACTCGGGAGTTTCTCCCTCCCTTCTTTGCTTTCTCAATTGCCTTGTTATATTTCAAGTATAGATTTAAATATGCGCGTTCGGTATTCTCAGAGAATTAAAAAATAAAATTTTGGGAATAAATTATATATATAGATTTTTTAATTATATATAAATTAGATTAATTTATATTTAAACCGTTTATTTATTATCGACAGAAAGATGCGAAACGGAAATTATAAACGGAAATGGCCATAACGCTACCATAACACAATGCGCGCAGAATGTTTGTCGACATGCGTTTCCTTGAATATCAATCATTTTCTCCAAGATTTTATAGATAAAACGACTTGCTTTTCCGGGCACGTGCCCTTCGAATAAGAAGAAAGGCATTAAACTGGCGCCCACTATTACCGCTATTTTTTGCATGCTTTTAGTTTAACATTGTCATATTTTTTAGCAAAGAAAATTCCAAAATAATTCATTGTTTTGTCATATAATTAAACTCGATTAAAACTTGTATTTAACCATTGTTTGCGATAGATTTTTATAAGAACTGGATTTTTTATCTATTTTTTTTTAATAGTAATTTTTTAATAAAAATATAATGTTTGCGATATATGAAAAAATTAACAAGGAAATTGCTGAAAGTTTCGAGCAAAATCTGGACATTTCCATGTGACGCAGCATGGTGCGTGACACGTGCGTGAGACACGCAGGATGAATCATCGCATGCGTCCCATGTACTGTGTATATCATAAAAAAAGAAAAAAAACAGCAACTCTTCTAATTTCGTCACTTTAATTTCGTTTCTTGAATATTAATGTCTCGAGTATAGATTCGAGCCGATTGCAAACAATAAAATACCATGAATGCAATGCGAGTCACGCCGATCACGCGGATGCATCGGATGCATGTTCGTGAGACAAACAAAAGAGTCGAAAGATGCGAATGCAACGCTGTGGACAGACGTCGTTGTTCGAGAATAGGAGACGCGTGCATAAATTATATGCGACATCGACTATTCGTATAATTTATAAATTCAAAATTTGAATCATTTTTTAGTCGAAATTAAATTTTGAGATTTTTATTTGTGGATTTTTAATATCAAGGTTATAATCTTGATAACAAAATCTCAAAATAAAAAGATGAATTTTTCAACTCCGCGGAAATTAATCTGTTTTCGAGGTAGAAGCCTTTCTGGCGACTTTCTCACAACATTCGGCTCCCAACGTGACCGCATTCCGCAAGGAATCCGCCTCTCCGCCTATTAAAGATGCTTCCCGACGTATCTGTTGAAACGCAAAATGAAACGCATCCGTTGAAAAATGGCAAAAAGATTCCGCGAACATGATGCAATAATCATGAAACTTGTTAGGTAATCTTCTTAGGTACTGTCAGAATCTTGAAGAATCCTCGAATCGAAAAATAAAACGATTTTCTAGGAACAATGATGATTAAGGACCAGATATTAGAGGAATTATGGTTGGATGCGGTTAACGGTATCTAAAGGCCCTTGCACTCCTCGGCTCGACACGTCATAAGGAATGAACGATATCAATGTTTACGCCATACAGGACGCGAGCGGTTCCTCTCGCTTGCTTCCTTCTCGTATCGTGACTCACGCGCGCGTCTGCAAATCTCCTCTGGCAGACTTTATGGTGCTGGGAAGAAGCACCGTATAATCCATAAATCCGCGCTAGTGGAATCGGCGAACACGACGTTGTTAAAGCAACAAGAGATTACAGACGGGAAAATAGTTCGCGCCTCCCGAACGAGTGATGTTACAGGCTTCAATTTCTGAGCTTTTTTAAAATTGAAGAATTTGTGCATATCTAAGATAAAATAAAAAAATATTGAAAGATGCAAAGAAAATAATAACATAATTTTAATCAATTTCAAGTCAACTATATTTTGGTGACATTTTTTTCCATAGATATGTTATCAAGATTATTTTAAATGTTAAGAATTCATGAGTATAAATATTGTTGTTTTTTAACTGATCTTGATAAAATAATATCGATTCTAAATTATTTAAAGAACCCGTAAATAGAAGGCATTTCAAAGGATGCTGGTATAAAATAGAGTTGAAATATAAATACAATGTATGCAGTATGCACATCCTATATATTCCTTCTTCTTTTTCTTCCTATTTCTTTATTACATTATCCATTTTATTATTACCAAGAGTATATACGCCATACTTTTTTTCACTAGTCAGAGATCGCTCAAAGAGGCTGAAAAAAAAATATTGGATTAGATTACCGAGCTGTCAAAGCAAGTCCATCAGAAGAGGGGATAAGAAAAGGTCAAATAGGGTTGCTCGATAGAGAGGAAGAGAAAGGACATGAGAAAGAGAGAAGGGGGGCAAAGGCCGGAGAAGGGATATACTCGCGACAACTATCAGTTCAGTGTGGTTCTACTCTCCGTTAGGTGTATCTCGTGTGGATCATTATACAAATCGCGAATTGTCTCTGTCGAGCAGAAGTGATTTCAGAGATTAATCTTTTCAAGATCATAACGTGGGAAAACTCGTCAACTTTGAACGATTCAAAGTAAACATTCCAAGCTGTCGCGATCTGGCATTTCGTGTTAAATATGTAATCGATATCGGTATATTTGATCGTACATAATCGCGTGATCGCATGATTGTGTCTACGATCCTTTCGAGCGTGACGGGTTTCTATCGGCGACATTCACATGACGGACCACATGTCAATCTGAAGGTGAGTCGACCTTCAGTCAATTTTCAGCTCTTTTCGCAGGCGCATGCCTTTGACTCGGTTTGAAAATTACAAAAGATTCGTATATTTCAAACAAAATTAGCAAAATTATTGAGAGAATATATGTATATATGTATGTACGCCGCGATTATATGTATAATATATTGGCAAAGTAGGTGGACTGTCTTGAAACCGGTTGACAGACTTGACACAAAAAGGAGCGATTCAGATACGAATGTCGAGTTTCTGTTCACCGCGATTCCGAATTTCTCGTAATATATAATAAACTTAATAAATAAAAAAAAATATATATTAAAATTGAAGAATTTGTGCATATCTAAGATAAAATAAAAAAATATTGAAAGATGCAAAGAAAATAATAACATAATTTTAATCAATTTCAAGTCAACTATATTTTGGTGACATTTTTTTCCATAGATATGTTATCAAGATTATTTTAAATGTTAAGAATTCATGAGTATAAATATTGTTGTTTTTTAACTGATCTTGATAAAATAATATCGATTCTAAATTATTTAAAGAACCCGTAAATAGAAGGCATTTCAAAGGATGCTGGTATAAAATAGAGTTGAAATATAAATACAATGTATGCAGTATGCACATCCTATATATTCCTTCTTCTTTTTCTTCCTATTTCTTTATTACATTATCCATTTTATTATTACCAAGAGTATATACGCCATACTTTTTTTCACTAGTCAGAGATCGCTCAAAGAGGCTGAAAAAAAAATATTGGATTAGATTACCGAGCTGTCAAAGCAAGTCCATCAGAAGAGGGGATAAGAAAAGGTCAAATAGGGTTGCTCGATAGAGAGGAAGAGAAAGGACATGAGAAAGAGAGAAGGGGGGCAAAGGCCGGAGAAGGGATATACTCGCGACAACTATCAGTTCAGTGTGGTTCTACTCTCCGTTAGGTGTATCTCGTGTGGATCATTATACAAATCGCGAATTGTCTCTGTCGAGCAGAAGTGATTTCAGAGATTAATCTTTTCAAGATCGTAACGTGGGAAAACTCGTCAACTTTGAACGATTCAAAGTAAACATTCCAAGCTGTCGCGATCTGGCATTTCGTGTTAAATATGTAA